CCAAGCAAAGTTCATGCAGGCTCTTAATGACAGCATCTGCATCATTGCTACGTTGTTGGAGTGCTCTGTCAAGGACCTAAAATGAAAAATTATCTATTGAAAAAATGATCCTTGTAGGTAAAAGAAGAGTGCCAACTATAAATCAAGGTAGTCAAAGGCAAAACGCACTAGACTTCTCAAATGCTTAAGTGAGATGCATGTCACGTCCACTATATCGAGTCAGCAAATGATTGGTGAGCTGAACCATGACGTGGCGATACCCAATGACGGTCACACGGATTTGGCTGTTTTGCGTAGAAGCACTCGTCCAAGAACACTCACGTGGAAGTTACGAGAGGGGCAAGAGGGATAAAATGCATGTGCATGCAATGAGTGGAAAACAGTGTGTGATTGTAATTGGTCTCTCTCTCCTTTCTGTTATTCCTCCTCCTTTCTCTGGTAATTCTGTTCTGTTATCGTTTCCTTTTCTGAACCACACTTCTGCTGTATTGTTTTTTGATGAACTTCGCAATGCAATTTACTGATTAATACCAGAAGAATTTCCCATATTTTGTTGTATTCATTTTATTTCCTGAGATAAGGTGTGACAATGCACTAAAAAGTTGCAACCACAAATAAAGCCATGAGTTAAAGTAGGCACCTTATATGCAATAAAAACAAAAAAAATTGGAACAACATTTGACATGCAAGTAGCTGTTCAAAAGTAATAATTATCAAATATACTAAAGTCACGAATTTCATTATTCAAGCAAATAATTATTAGATAAAATATAACTGACGTGGTGTACGTGTGTGGGGACATTTGTACACCGTCACCAATACATAAATCCACCACTGCTTGTGGATGTGACTTTTAACCAAAAATAACATATAAGGTTACATAAATTATTATGTCTTCCATAGGAGCCGAACTAACCTTTATATTTAGGGGACAAATTCTATGAAATTAATATATATTATTAATTTAAATTTTTAAAAACTTAATAAATAGATGATGATGATAAAGAAAATTTTAAATATTTAAACTTATATATAGAATATATTTTTTAATAAAATCAGATCAATTTTTAAGCCATCACTTACTCTATATCTCATGCTAATTATATTTTTGGTTGTTTATAGATATAAAATCAAAGGTTGAGGATCATTTTTTTCCCGAACTATACATGACAGGTTACAAATGTTCCTTAACTTAACTATAAATTAATTATATCTTTTAACTTTAAAAAATTCCTCTATCATCACCTTGACGTTAAAAATATTTAACGCCTATTAGTCATCAGTGGCCTACTATTTTTAATATTTTTTTATCATATTAAAGATCAATTTTGGCCCTCAACTCTAATATTTTATAATAAAAAATATCACAAAATATACTATGAGGCCCACTAACTGTCAACTAATGATGAAAAAATGATGGGATGATAACAAAGAAGATTTTTAAAGTTAAAGAATAAAATTGACCAATAATTAAGTTTGAAGGCATTTATGACCTTTTGTATTCAATTAAAAAATGACTTTTAACCCTAAAATCAAATCATTCTTATTTGAATGAAAAAATACATTAAATATGTTTATATATTTAAGTAACTAAGTTTTTAAAAATAATTTTTTCCACGAATTTTTTTATAATAAATTATGTAAAATTAGATGATATTGAATGTTAGGATTTGAGGAGAGAGGATGGGATAAGTCTTCAAAGTTTATACAAATTAAATCAATGTGCGTGTGTCCTATATTTTAAAAAAAATGTTTGGCATAATCATAAAACTGATATGAGTTATTTTAAATGATTTGATTTGAAAAGAAAAGAAAAATAGACCAACATGTATATACAAATATTAATTATCAGTCCTTTTTTATTAATTAAAAGTTAATGTTAATCAATAAATATTTTTAACAAAACCATGAATATATATAATAGGTATCATATATTCAAAGAAATATTTAAGTAGCCCGGGCACACCACGTTATTTGTGATCTATCCAATTAAATATTTCAAGTAATTTAAATAAAATCTTCTATGACATTTTTTAAATTAATTTTATTTTTATAAAAGAATGCACATTTGATTATTACTTTTTTCTCTTTATACTATCATTAATATCAAAATTAATTTATATTTAATGCTATTTAAATGTTATATTTTTATTGGATAGATCATAAATAATATGGTGCACTCAGTCTACCTAAGTATTTCTCTTTATATTCTTTACTAAGGGGGGACGAAGCAAGGAAGTTTGAATATATATATATATATATATATACTCTCTCAATTAAAAAATTTAAGGTATTTTTTAGGGGTTAAATGTTGAAAAGTGTAAAGTATTTTGAGTTTTTTAAAGTGTAATCATTATCTTTTTTTTAAATGCCCCTATTGAACAGATTACTTTATATTTTTTTAGGATGAAACATTTTATTAAATAGAAATAAATATAAAAAATAGGCTTAGTTTAAAAATAATTAACTACTTTAATGGGATAAAATTTAATTAAAAATGTCTTACATTTTTAAATAAAAGGAGTATATAATATGTAGAGCACATCATAATAGAAAGGTTGCAAAATCATTTATTTATCTTTATAATTATATTGGGTGATATATGAACAATTTATATCTTTATTTCTTATAAAAAATAGGGAAAATATTAATCAATGAGTGATTGAAGAAATTTATATCAGTTAATGATTATTTATTGTTAAAACTTGAATAGATTTTTATTGATTTAAGTTAGTCTTTTATTAACAAGTATCCATTCAAATTTTAACAATAATTTATTTTAAATTAATAACAGTCCATTCAAATTTTTTTTCATTTAAATTTTAATAATAATTAATTTTTTATAGATATAAATTTTCTCCAACGATTTACTGTTATTTTTCCAAAAAAAATACCTGGTCGTCCATCTGAGGAAATACAGCCCAAAGCTGATGGATGCGAGTGAGAACCAATAAACGAACGGGAAAAGTTGAAGAAGAACAACGAAGCCTCCTGGATGGAAGAGGAAATGGAAATATGAAACTAGTGGCTATTTATAAAGCCTACAAATATTTAAATAATAATATTTTAAATGTTAATCTAGTTTCTTTTTTCCCCCTCACTAAATCCTAATCTAATTTCACAGATATAGATATCGTATTTATTAAAAATAAATAAAATCTAAAATAATTCTAAAAAAATGATAATAAGGAAATAAAAATAAATTCTAATTAATTTTAAAAAATATTATAAATGTTCTTATTTTAATAATTCTAATAAACTAAATTTAATAATATCTTTTGAGACACTTAAAAAGTATTAAAGACTCAAATTTTAAAATAATTATTAAAATAAGATTATTTTAAAGCATTTTATAGAATAAAAATGATAGAAATATAACAAATAAATCTTCTAAATTATTTTAAAATATATATAATAATATTGAAGTATACATATGACCGTTAAAACTGTTCTAAGTTGTGAGAAATTAATAAATACTACTGTACTTCATATATATATATATATTATCTATAATTTTTTTATAAAAAAAAAAAAGATTTGAGTATTCACCTAAACCCGATTGCACGTAAGCCAATTTGTTTGAGACCTATTCCCATCATCCCAAATAGGATCGAACGTATGAAATTCGGAATTATCAAAACCCCAACACTTAAAAAACTTTGAATTCATTTGAGCTAATCCAAATCGCCAGCTCCAAAACCAGTACTTGCCATTTTTTATTCCCAAAAAAAAAATTAAACCACCAAAGTATTAACAGTGGTCATTTAATTCTTTGGATTATAAATTTATTAGGTTAAAATACATAAAACTTTCTTAAATTTTAAGATACTTGCATGTGATTTATCTATTAAAAATTTAAAATTAACCCCCTTAATATTTAATTTAATTTTTTAAAACACTTATTAATTATATTATTTGAGCTTAAAAATTCGGAATTATCAAAACCCCAACACTTAAAAAACTTTGAATTCATTTGAGCTAATCCAAATCGCCAGCTCCAAAACCAGTACTTGCCATTTTTTATTCCCAAAAAAAAAATTAAACCACCAAAGTATTAACAGTGGTCATTTAATTCTTTGGATTATAAATTTATTAGGTTAAAATACATAAAACTTTCTTAAATTTTAAGATACTTGCATGTGATTTATCTATTAAAAATTTAAAATTAACCCCCTTAATATTTAATTTAATTTTTTAAAACACTTATTAATTATATTATTTTTTTCATAAAGGTTACAATATTATTTCACTAAAAAAATATTATTAAACAAATATTATGTTGTAAAACTATTTATAATTAATTTTTTATATTTTTTTAAATACTTAAAACATTGATAGCCATAAAAATTATCATTCTATAAAATTTTAAATATTTACTTTTATATTAATTTTATTCATTTTTGTTGTTGTCAATGATGCATAATTTTATTATTTTAAAGAATAATTTTTATTTATATTTTTAGGTTAGATTAATGTAATGCACATAATTAAAATATTTCAAATTTTAAACATTACCAAGTTAGATTAATTGATCCTTTAATACAAAAAAACTATACATCATTGATCACAAAAATATATCTAAAATTTTATACAATATCAATAACATTTTCTTTTGCTATCAATGCCTCAACTAACCAAAAAATAAAAAAATTTAATTAGCCATAATTTTACAATGTAATATTTTATGTAATAACATTTTTAACTAAACAACATTTTAACTATTATAAAAAAATAATATAATTAACAATAGAAGGCATTGAAAAACAAAATTACCTAAGAGTTAATTTTAAAACTTTTAAAAGTAAGAGAATTCATATACAACTGCCTCAACGTTTAGATAAGTTTTATACATTTTAACCTATATATTAAAAGTTAAAACACGTAAAATTGATTATCACAAAAAAAAAAGCTCTTTTTTTAGGAAATAAAATTACTACAATTAAGGTTGCCAACTAAATAAATGAAAACCTTATGGTAAAAAGAAAGAATATAGACCATGATTAAATTAATTGACAACCGATGAAATAGAACACTATCAAAAATAGCAACCACATTGTTATATATATATATATATATATATATATATATAATGCTATCCCAAACTTTGACACGAGGGGACAGAGTTAAACCAGAAGAAGCCATTTTGCTGCCTGCCAATATTATTATATTCCCCATACTGATTGTAATTAGAAAACATCAGGAGGGAACCGCCCAGGAAAGGTGTTGCACTGTTGAGCTTGCTTCAAATGCATTAGTAATGTATAGTTTTTCACCTGCAAATAAGCCCATCCATGCAGGATTCCAACAAAAATAAAATCATTACTACAAGAAGCAGCCTTATCCACAGAAAAGTAAAATCATTAAAAATCTGACTTTCCTTCATCATTTGCCTGCCAATTCTTGTTTATTAAAAAAATACAAAGAATTTGATGTTCAACGATTTTGTATGTTACGATGCAACAGACATCATGTTTACCAATAGGCACAACTCAAAGCACAGGCATAGCCCTCCATGTTAAAGGGTGGATGATGAACATCCTCGATATAAATCCCATCTCCCCCATATTCCGGAGCTATCAAATTTTCCTGGACCGTTATCCCAGCTCAGTTCGTAGCCTCCCCCTCCCCTACAATAAAATACTATCTTCTTGTTTTTTTTTTTTCATTTTCTTTGAAAATCCTTTTAAAAAAATAAAACTGCATTGTTTCATCACTACTAGATACTAGAATGTCTTTCATTTTATCTAGAAGCTAATGATAAAAGGAAAAGAAAAACAAAATTGAGAAGATAGGGCATTACAAGGGGCATATTAAAGGCCCCAACCCCCCTTACTCTTCTACTGTTTCTGTTCTGTCCCTATTTTCAGCTTAAGTCATTTCTAGCATGTGTTCAATTTATCACCTCTTTTCCATTTTCAAGGTTTCATATTGTGTGCAGAAAATAACTGAGTTACCAAACATTTTCAAAAGCTTTAGAACCGATTATGAGAATTACTAAAACATTTCAAGAGAACAGAGACAAAGCTCATTCTGACCTCAAGAGATCTCAACTGCTCCTGGCTGTGAGATAACGCCTGCTTCAAATGTTGACACTCTAGAACCTTGTTATCATAATCAGCAAGTCGCTCATGTTGGATTTTCACCGCTTGTTTAAGAATATTATTCTCCTTAATCAACACTTCAATTTGCTGCTTCAGCACCAAATTTTCCTGAAAACAAAACATCTTAAAACAATCATCATGCAAGCCCAACCAAACGTAAAGAATCAAATGCTAGGTTACCATTTATAAATCATTTGACTGATGTGTATCATGAATAGAAGTCGACTGTTTGCACAGCACAAAAACTACGTGAAAGCTAAAACCTGGCATTTTAACAATTAAAAAAAAAACATATTTATGCACAGTAATGATGGAAGATGCGTTTCTAAGCATTATGCTCCTACCTCCTATTCAACTTAGCAAACATTACCCAATCATATCGGCCAGGGATTAACAGGTTCCAATGCCCTCAATATAGTTGGCATGCCTACTATAGAAGATCATCATAAAACAATGTCTGATCAGGTGAGCAAGTTTAGCAAATCTCTTCACCCCAAACACAATGTTGCTTTCAATATAAGCCTGAAAACTAAAAAAGGGTACACGATTGTATGACATAAAAAGTCTTCAAACAACAAGTATCTCACAACTTTACTTCAATGATCCCGTGCACAGAACATAAAGCATTCAACCAAGCTACCCCCCCATATGAGAAGATGGCATTTATTTAGCTACAATAAGGGGACAAGAATATTATTATCAACATGAATCTTGAGGTAGATAGCAAGGTGTTAGCATTCTCAATTGTATCCACAAGTTTGTTAATCAAATAATCATTGCATGAAAAACCGACCAGTCCAGCCGGCAAACAATTGAACAGGTCATGTGACTGATCTAGAATGATGCTTGAACCGGTGTTATAGCAACTCATGGTAGACAGGTCAACTTGGTATTAACAAGTGAAGCAAATGGTTCGTGCAGTTTGGCCGGTCTAAAAAATGCCAAGAATGAAAGGAAAAGAAACATTGAGGAAGAAGGAAGAATCACATCAAAGAACAGAATGGATGAAGAACAATGAAAACAAAGAAAAGAAGAAAACAGTGAATAGCATGAGAAAGAAGACAATCATTGAACAAAGCTGATTGGGAAGTTAGAAAGTGCAAGGGATGAAGCATTGCCATTGCCAGAAGAGCCGTTGCCATTATTCTCTCTTCTTCTTTTTTTTTTTTAAACCAACACTGTCATTGCCTGCTCCCACTCTCTCCTCTGTCCTCTCTATACAACTTCTAACCTGCTCTATCCTCTGTCCTCTCTATGCAACTTCTAACCTGAGGTTATTCTTTTTTTGAATGAAAAAGTGATTCAGAACTCAAAATAGAGATAACAAATAAAAAGCTAGATTTAACTCAACAGCTTCTCATCATCCACCACTTTCCTACCAAAGAAGTGGTGGTTGATCAAAAGTGTGGAGATCACAATCCTATCAGACGCGTTCATAACCATGTAGTGAGCACAACTATTGGCTTCCCTATACATTAATTCTAAAGCAATCTAACTTGATAAAAGTCACTATAAGGATGAAAGTCAGTCCCACTTCTCAGTAGGAGATTAATTGCTTCCACATGATCAGTAAAGACTCTAATTCGTCTAAAGCCTTTGTTCCAACAAAGATTAAGACCCTGCAAGATAGAAGCTACCTCTGTAATGGTTGGTGGGAAACTTGAGGATATTCTCATCTTCCCATACATCACGCTAATCAATACAAATCCAGCAGCCACTTTTACATCTTTTCACCACCAATACTGGAAATTATTTTTTGAAATAAGTACTAGGTTTTGAAATTATATTATTATTATTATTATTTTTTTGCTTGGACTGACTTTTATTTTAAATAATACATTGGAATTTTATATCATTTTTAGCCTTTCTTATTTAAAATATCTAGCCTAAAAACAAAAATATATTAATTTAATTATGATCTGTTTGACTCCGGCTCAACTCCAGTTGAACCAATAACCCTTAAACCAGTATCTCAATTGGTTTTTAAGACCCTACAAATAATTGCTTCCCAAAATTTTCCAGACTCAACTCTAACAGTTATGTGCAGGTATCATTTATTATCTACCATGAACTATATACCTTCTGATTAACATGAGTTGCCCCCACATGAGTACGTTCACAGATTGATTTTTCTAGAACCTCCAGAATTCTAGCAGCACGGGCTTTAGCATCATCAATACTAGTAGCACCTGCCATTTCTCTCACAAAAAGGTCAACCCACTCAGCTCCATCAGCAGGAAGGTTGTTCGAAGCTGTCTCACTCTCAGAAGCAGAAGCATCAAAATCATACTCCACTTTACCTGCAAGTCTTTCAAAAGTTATCAATGCCTCGTAAATAAGAGATACTAAATTTCATTAAAAATAAATTGAAGCATATAGCTATAGCAAGAAAGCATGAAGAAGTGATGTTAATTTGAAACTCTCTTCTTTTAAGGTAAGCTATATACATGGCAACTTAAATTGTACTGTCTTCCATACAATTTCTTAGCAGATTGTATGCGCATCTAGACAGAATAAATATAAGAGGACAGGAAATTATGCTAGAAAGTACTTCATAATATTATGTATGTTGCATAAAACATGCCGGTGTAGCTAAACCATCCACACAATTTCATTCATTAAACAACCAAGACTTCCAAGAAAGGATACTAAAACACTTGCCGTTCCTAATTTCATTTTAGAACTATAGATCAGAAAATTGAACACTTCCTACAACACTCTTCTTTTCAAGCAGTATAATTAGCAAAATAAATGCAAATTCAGCCAAAGATAGAATATCATGTTGAATGGCAGACACCATTCTAAAAGTGCATCCAACTTAAATAGAAACATACGTTAAAAAAACCATGCTTACAGCTAAGAATACTTGGAAACTAACAAACGCTGGTTTTAGATTTTGCTTCAAAATAAGCAGTCATATTAAAATAAAACTTCTCCAAGACAATTTATGCAGTTAAGTTCCATATCTGTGAGCCCTCAAACAAAAAATAATTGAAGAATGGTAGTTTGTACAGCATACAGTGAATAGCAAGTAAGAATTTCCATTAGAAAATATGGAAAATAAAATTTTCTACTCCTGCACAATTTAATTCATTTCACTTCATCCTAAGATTCATTTAAGTCTGAAGACTAGTAATTTCTCATTTAACATTAATAAGTAGATATCAACTATACCTGTCTCCACATTAACTTTTGAATCTTCAGCAGTAGCAGAATTGTCATTTGCAGATCCCAAGCAAAGTTCATGCAAGCTCTTAATGGCAGCATCTATGTCATTGCCACATTCTTGGAGTGCTCTCTCAAGGACCTAAAATGTAAACAGAATTGTCATTTGAGGATCCCAAGCAAAGTTCATGCAAGTTCTTAATGGCAGCATCTATACCATTACCACATTCTTCGAGTGCTCCCTCAAGGACCTAAAATGTAAACTATCTAATGAAAAAAGATCCTTGTAGGTAAAAGAAGAGTGCCAACTAGTCAAAGGAAAGTGGCACCAGACTTCTCAAATGCGATAAGTGAGATGCACTAAAAAAGTACGTGCACAATAAAGCAATGAGTTCAAGTATGCAACAGATATGCAATACAAAAAACAACAAAACTTATCCTACTAGGCGAACAAAAAATAGATAAAATTTAAACAACATTTGACATGTAATTAGCTATTCAAACGTAATAATTATCAAATGTACTAATCAAGCCAACAATATCATTAATCGAGTAAATAATTATTAAGTCATAATTGATAGCATTAAGTGCACTTATGAAGTCAACAAATGCATGTGGCTGTAGTCCCTTGTGGATGGCTCTGTTTTTATGCATTAGCTAAAAAATTCTGGAAAACAAGTAGCCTAAATAATATGATAACCTATTTTATCCTATTCTTAAATGTCTATGACTGGGATGAGCTTCTAAGATTGGACTAGCAGTCTGAATACACGCTCACCGCAGTGCCACCCACGCTATAAATCATGAAATCCTTTTCTGACAAGGACCTACGTAACCATACAAGCAACGCATTCAAAGCTAGACCTCTCAAAATGCTCTAGGCAGGAGGCACAAGAAAGGAACACTGCATGTTATACAAGAAGCATATATATATATATATATATTATATAAATATAAACCAAAAAATTAACATGTAAATTTGAAATTGAATTTGACATAAATTTTGCACAAAGAATAGGATTAACTTCTACCTTATTCTCTTAAATCTAACGCTGGGTTGGACTTCTAGGATTAGATTCTATAGTGTTCTGTTTTATATTATTACTATTTTCAATATTCACGGGTTGGGCTTATAAGTTTACCCTTCTCTAGCTGGCAAACAGAGGCTCCAAAGGAGCTGGCCTTGTGGTGCCTGATCAAAGACAGTGACTCTCAAGGAGTGACAGGCGCTGATCATGAATAGGGCATTGCCGCCATTGGTGTCACTGAATACAAGTACTGAATAATCATATTAAAACATATAAACCGAAAATAATATATAAGGTTACAGAAATTATCACGTCTTCTACTGAAGTTAAGTGCACACATTAATAGAAACGTTGCAAAACCATTGATTGTTAAAATTACATTGTGTTATATATGAATAAACCATTATCAGCCAAAAGTTACATGCTTCATCCACGAAGAAAGCAGGAAATAGAGAGAAACCCTTCAGCCGTTCCAAGTCCTAGGAACTGATAACTACCAAAAAAAAATACTCAACAATTTCAATCTTTACTTCCTTTTCTTTTCTTTAAAAATACCTGGTCATCCATGTGAGGAAATACAGCCCGAAGCTGATGGATGAGACTGGGAGCCGACAAACGGACAGGCGAAGTTGAAGATGAACAACGTAGCTTCTTGGATACTGGAGGTGATGGAGGAAGGTCTTCAAAGAAAGATCTCTTGCTCCCACACACTGCAGCAGACATGGTTGAAGCAATAAGCCGTTCGGTGCCTCTAACGGTTACTCCGACCCCGATTCCGGAATGCCAATTCAATCCGATGATACAAAGAGTAGGAAAGGGCTAGGATTAGGGTTGAGGATAGACAATTTTGGGGTCCAAGAAAGGAGGAGCAGCGAAGTTTGAAGTACTTGAAAAATTGATCTACCACAATCTCTCTTATAAACTGATTTTAGGGATCAGAGCGTTCACCAAAGCAAACGGATGTCCCTGAATTGTTTTTTTTTTTTTGGGCCAAAGAGAATGTCTCTGAATTGTGCAAAAAGAAACCAATAAATGTGTTTTTAAAAACTTAACTATTTAGTTTTTTATTTATTTATGGAATCTTAAATTAATTTTTTTATAGAATACAATCTTAAAAAGTTAAAATAATAATATGCTCAGGATTTATATTTTTTGGAGTACTCATATGTGTTTTTCTAATATTTAGACAAAAAAAATGTGTGTGCTTTTCTAATTAAAGGTAATAGCATATTCAAATATTGAATGTGAATACTTTTTCAAATAAATATTTAAATTTTTTTTTTATATTGTGAGTGATTAAGTCTGTTTGCTAGGTCCTAGACCCAATCAATACCAGATTTAATTTTGACGCATTTCTAAAAAAAAAATTGATGCATGTATTTTATTCATTAATATTAAAAGTTTGATTTAATTTAAGTTAAAAAATGATGAATAATACTAAATTTATAGTGAAATTGATTGCAATTTATTGATTACATTATATTGATGGTTTCAATAATTATCATGCATTAGAGTTGCAAGGGTTATGAGCAAGGCAGGGTTATGAGCAAGGCAGCTCTCTTCTATTTTAAAATTTTATATCGAATTCATATTAAATTATGAATATTAATATTATTATAGTAATATTATAACTATAATATATCAATTGATATTCATTTACCATCATGGTATAACATGAAATTTATTAATATTTTTGTGCCAGAGACAATATTGTATTTAAAATTGGAAAAATAATAACCAAACCCTTTTAAAATAGAGAAATGATAATTTTGTCCCATAAAATGTGATAATATCTTTGAAGTCCCAAAGGAATTAATTGTTATTAAAGTTTTTTATGAAATGGTAAGAAAATCCTTTAACTTAAAAAATGAAGAAAAATGATGAGAAAAAGTTATAAATACCTAAATTACTTTAATTATTTGAGAGGTGTTTGGTTGGAGAGAAGGAGAGGAATTTTGCCCCCTCCCTTTGTCTCCCCTCCAAATTGGGAGGATTAAGGGATAAAATTTTTCATACCTTAACTAATATGCCCTCCATTATAAGTTTAAAAAATATAGATATATTTTTTCAATATCTGAATACAAATAAAATGAAAATAACATCAAACCTCTCCCCTTCTTTCTATTAAAACCCCAACCCTCCCTTCCATTAAAAGCCCTCCCCTTCCCTTGAACCAAGCACACCTTTATTAAATTAAATTTATAAATTCTAAAATCAAAGTTGTAAAAAAAAAAAAATTATTGCACATTGCTGATTGAAAAACAAATGGTGAGAGAAAATTATAAATATTTAAACAATTTTAATCATTTGTTGAATTAGAGTTGTGAATTTTAAAATTAAAGTTGTGAATGAAAAAAAATTGTTGTACTTCTTTTAATTAAGGGGCATTTTTATCATTACATTAAAAAGTTTAATGATAATAAAATCCTTTAAACTTAAAAGGCATTATCATATTTTTCAAAATCAAATTATCATTTTTTTTTATTTTTGAGATATTAATTTTTCATTTTTTCTTTAAAATTCTTTTTCTTTTTTAATGGAAACAAGTTATTTGTTCTTTTTGTTAGGGCCTTGAGATCAACAAATCAAGTTGTTAATAATTGATTGTTACCCATGACAGTGAGTGGATATTCTAGTTATGGTCAAAAACATTTTTTCCCTTAGTGGTGGGGTTGAGGATTCTAAGCTAGTAAAGGCAACAACATATACATTAAAAAGTAAATAAGAATAGGCCCCTCAAAAAAAAAACAAAATCTTTTGAAAGCTACCATAAGGGAGAATCGCCTCCACCACCAGATTTTGACCGGTCTACCAAGAAGGTGAAACTACGTGAGGAACCAAAAGTTGATGATGAAGCCATGACGCCGATTACCACACCTCGTCTTTTGAGGAGGAACCTCACATTTATGCTTCTCCTGATATGGTCCCTGAAACACAAGAAGAAATAGATGTGGCGATGTTCACTAACGAGATCCAACCCATGCCCACTAATGAGGTCCAGTTGAAACCCAAGCTCCCATCCTTCAAGGATAAGCTACTCAACAATGATAGTAATCACACAGAAGAAGAAGGCGATATCAAACTTAGCGAAGGAGATGTTATCATCGGTATTAATGATGGCATCCCAACAATCAACTTCTCTACTCAAGTACTGAACATCCTGAACAAAAGAATGGGCTATGCTATTGTTGTGAAACTTCTAGGGAGAACTATAAGCTACAGGCAACTTTAGACAAAACTTCAACTTATTTGGCAGACCATTGGCCAATTTCAGCTCACTGACCTTGATGAAGAATACTTTATTGTTAAGTTCAAAGAAGAGGAAGATTTTCAGAGAGCGCTAACTTACAGCCCCTGGTTCGTTTTTGGTCGTTACCTAACGATATAGCCTTGGACACCTTCTTTTAAACCACAAGACCACATCATCAACCATGTGGTGGGATAGGTGCAACTCCCTGGATTACCGGCTCGTTATTATCACAAGAGTATTATTCACTCTATCGGAAGCATTTTCGGTAATGTTATAAGAGTTGACTACAACACAGATTCAGGCGAAAGAGGCAAGTTTGCCCGGTTAACTATCATCATTGATCTCTCTAAGCCTCTTACTTTTAAAGTTCAGGTTGATGGTGAAACCATTTATATAGAATATGAAAACCTCCCCACAATTTGTTTCCACTGCAGCCGATATGGACATTTAGAAGATCATTGCCCGAAAAAAATGCTGTCCACGGTGACCGATGCAAATCAACACCTACAATCACCTTTGGAGGTCACTTTACCTAACAGACCTAACACACGTACACAAGCAAGGTACGGATCATGGATGCACCCACTACCTCAGTACAAACACAAATATGTGAAAGGAAGTAGAAAAGAGGTCACTCATGTCAACAAGAGTATTGCAACGACCTCACGATTTGCCGTACTCAAGGACGTAGAAGACCTGCATGAGCAGCAGTAACAAGCAGTATATGACACTATCAGAAATGCCAAGCCGACCACTAATGGTACTGCCAATACCATGAAACACACAGGGAAAGAGGTACGACATTAGAAGAGGGTAGAACCAGCGTATAAAGCAAAGGAAATCACCCAGGATTGTCTCTTTAATACCCTTAGCTACCAGGCCTATCAAGCCCAAATGACTCTAGACCGAAACCACAATCAGGCTATCATTATTCAAGATGCAAGAATCCTACCAAGCAAACCCACAACTTCGGGTCTTCACTCGTCATAAACCCACCGATCTGATATTATTCTCCAACCCGTCTCTATATAGCAAAAAGATATCCAACCCAAACCCCCAAATCTAGAGACGTCCAAGAGAGGGTTCAAATTATCTTCAGGGGTGAAAATTTCCAACCCTAAAGTCAAACCTAATAATTTAGGCCCAGGGCCATCTGTGAGAGTACTAAAAGAGATAGCATGTGGAATCCAAGATGACCACACCAAAGAGTTCAACGATGACGCTGTTGTAATGCTTGTTGAGGGAGTTGCTTTTAACTCAGCCTCTGAGCAATAAACTCTCTCTTCTTCTTTTTATTATGTCTATTTTAACTTAGAATTGTCAATGAGCCTTTGATAAAAGGTTTTCTTTTGTTATGAGATCTCTTATATCTAACTATAAACCTGATATCATTGTCCTTGTAGAACCATGCATCTCTAATCTTAAGGCTGATAAAGTTATCAAACGAATTGGTTTTCACAATTCTCACAGGGTTAAAGCTTCAGGCTTTTTCAGGGGTATATAGATTTTATGGTCTGACAAAGTGGAGATCCAAATTATCTTAAACCATATTCAATTCATTCATATGGAAGTCACTCTCCTACCTGATGCAAGGAGATTCTACTTCACAGCCGTTTATGGCAGCCCTCAACCTAGTCTCTAGAAATTTATTTAGAGTGACTTGGATGGTTTGAAGCTACCTTCTACTCAACCTTGGCTCCTTGCTGGTGACTTCAATGCTACTCTTACCAGTGAGGAACGTCGAGGGGTATTGGTCGTATCAACCATGGCTACAAACTTTTTCTATCTTTTTTAAATAGTAATGGACTCATTAACTTGGGTTTTAATGGACCTAACTTTACTTGGAGACGAGGCACTTTATTAGTTCATTTGGATAGGGCCGTGGGCAATGCTGCATGAATCAACTCTTTTCCTTCAAGTAAGGTTGACCATTTACCCAAAACTCTCTCTAACCACAGATCTTTACTTATCCACTTAGGCTTAAATGTTTCATCAAGCCAACGCAACAAACCTTTCAAATTCTTGGCCTCTTGGCTTACTCATCCTAACTTTGATGGGCTAGTCCAATGATGTTGGGTAACTAAGAATCCTATTATGAATAATATTAACTCCTTTTGTTTTGAAGCCCGGTGTTGGAATAATTAGGTTTTTGGCTATGTGGGGAAAAAGAAAAGACGCCTCCTTGCAAGAATTCTGGGGATCTAGAAAAAAATCGAGACTTCCATACACCTAGAATTCTTAATAGATTTAGACAAAACACTAAGAGACAAATTTAAAACCACTTGCTTGCAGGAGGAATTGCTCTAGCTTCAAAAATCTTCCTCTAATTGGCTATGTTTAGGTGATAGAAACACCTCCTTTTACCACACCAAGGCGCTCATGCAGAAAAGAAAGAACCGAATCATACAGCTCCGTTTATCATAAAGGGAATGGATCAATGATGAATCACAACTCTTTGAGATGGCCAAAGAATTTTTCAAAGATCTTTACTCCTTGGAGAATAGTGTCTTCACACCTTACTCGATATCAGGTACGTTCCTGACGATCTCGAAATGGTCTCATGCTTTTTTGAGTTCAATGATTTTAATGGAAGAAGTTAAACATGCCCTGTTTGAAATGAAACCACTTAAATCCCCTAGAATTGATGGTCCCCATACTCTATTTTTTCAAAGTCAATGGAAATTAGTTAGTTAAAGTCTATACAACCTAATCAAAGA